TAAAAAACGGTGTCAATCGTTAATAATAAATATTATAATTACTAGTATGTGATTGTTCTTTAATAGTTCATTTGTTGTCCTTTTATTACATAAGAATTGACTGAATTGAATTATAAGTCATAAGTACATCTAGTGATTTTCGTATATTACTTCAAAATAACAGTGGGGGAGCAGTGGCAACGCGCTCGCTTTTGGAACCAAGTGAAGCTGGTTCAAGCCCCCCATGTCTGAGATAACCTAACAAGTTTTTTAAAGACATAGTGAAATCCGCCAACCCGGACTTGGCCAGCGTGGTGGACTATGGCTTCATCTTTATCGTATTGGAAGGCCCAGTGCCCAGCAGTGGGTCATTAAAAAGGGGTGAATACACTGCAAAAACCTACTTAGGATCACTAGTGTAAGTCCAAAAAAATAATAATTTGGTAAAAAATACTGAAATGTTACCGGTAATCGATCCCGGAATACTATCGTATTGCGTTCGGATGCTGTAATACGTATCGAGTAACAATGCTTCGTTGGATTATATTTCAATAGTCAGATATTAACTCGTGAAAGTAGAGCGCGTTTGTTTCTAACTAAATAAGCTATATATAATTTAATATACGTAATGATACCGGTGAGAGGTAATTACGTATCTCATAAATATTTAAAAAATCATATTTTATTCGCTGTAGTTTTTTAGATAATTAATATTTATCTAAATATATATTATAAATTTTTTTTTCTAAGTAGGTATATACATCATACGTTCTAATTGTGCTATTTGAATTTATAATTTAATCGTTTATTTGTACTTATAATTTAGTTTGTTTAATAGAGGCGGTCTCTAAAAAACAAAGGGTAATCAGTAATCTAGGTCGGACTTTATACTATGAAATACATTATCGCGTAGGATGTGATGCGGTCTTCCTATTTCACCAAGTAATTTTAGTAGTAGAGATAAATAACTTTAAAGTTATAAAATGACAATATATAAAATATAATTTATCCTTTGAATGCGATTGCGAACCTTTGATTTATTTACTACGAACCCCAGTTCTCGGTTTTCTAGGTCCGAGATCAAAACGAGGGTGGCAGTGGCATTATTTAACGCCGCGATTTACAATTATCTACCTATAAAAAAAACATTTTTGTTTTAACGCTCAATAATTTATTAAGTGCTCTGTCAAATACTGTATTGTGACATAGTCAACGGGTGCTACGAGTACAATTCGAAGGTCCGATAGCTTATCTAGTAGGTACCTACTTTTATAAGTATACTTATATATTCATACTAATATTATAAATGTAAAAGTGTGTTTGTTTGTATGTCCTTCTTTCACGTCGAAACGGATTGACGGATTGGCGTGATTTTTTGTATGGGGATAGTTGGAGGGCCGAAGAGTGACATGGGAAACACGTTATAATATAGGTAACCCAAAAAAATATTTATGATCAGAATTACTTGAAACTTGTTATTAATGCTCTTCAATATAATTAAATGAATACGTGTTTTAGCATTTTTCGAAATTAATCCCATAAGGGGGTAAAATAGGAGATATAAGTTTGTATGAAAACTACGTTTTTAGAGTTTTCCTGTAGTTTTAGCGCAAGCGAAGCCGCGGGTTCTGCTAGTTATTATATAAATATCAAATTATCAAAACCTTCTGACGCAATTTACCACGTGTGTAACACGCCTGCATGTCAAAATTTGGTCCCACTCACGTGTATAGTGAATGTTTACATATTATGTACTCGTACATTAAAACAAAGATTACGGCCTGAATATGGCAAAGTGTAGTGTTGGATACTGCCATCATACTCGCATTGTCATGACATTGTAGATGACAAGAATTGAATATTCTCGATGTTGTATTAGTGGAGATATTATGCTTAACTGTGCTATAGGCAAAATATTTTCCTTTGTTTCATGGTGTACGATTGCTGTTTTTGAGTGCGGCAATATTTCTTGAATTGTCAAATTGTCAAAATCAAAATGTCATAAATACATTAAAATTTAAAATGTATCAATTATTAAATCTATAAATAAAAATCGATATGTGTATGTATGTTCCCTATGGACTCCATAACTGCTGGAGCGATTTTGATGAAATTTTCAGGCAATCTCCAGATGATGCTGTGAAGTTTGGTAGAGAACGGAAGTTTAGATAGCGGGAGAAGTCGCGGGTAGTGCTAGTACGTAGTAAACAAAAAAAAATTTACAGATTTAAAACCCTTCTTATAAATTCTCCATCCAGCTACATATGTAACTTTATCCTATTTTACTAAGGTAAATTACATGTAAAAAAATATAACTGACATAATAATTTCTATAGCTTTAATAAAACAATCAGGTGATCGCCACAACGCCACTAGCCACCGTCCGCGTAACACTTTCTACGACAATTCGTTTAAAATGAGGTGATTACTGATTACATATTATACAAAAGATTAATTGAGTTAACGTATAAAATATTGCTTTAAGAAAATAACCATTTAATATTCAAATAATTTCTTTTTAGAAGAGAAAAAATCTTTCTCGAAGTTTTTGTTACTATTATAAATTATTACATTTATTGGCTTAGTAATTAATTTTAATTCTTATGAGTACTGATACATTGAAAATTTTCGTAAGATTTCTTTGGGTTGTTAATAAATATTAAATATATTAATAGATAAAAAAGGTATTAATAAATAAAAAAATAAAAATAAAATTTTAATAAATATTTTTATTTGATTGATGATGATGATGATGATGATGTTCTCCTAGCCGATTCCGGCCACGGCGGCCAATCTCATTGAGATTAGCCAACTGCGCAGGAGATATTATAGTGCTCAAGTGTACGCGCAGACACAACGTGCACTCTCTATTCCTATCACTCTCATACTCCGGTGGGACGACTGCTCGACACGACCAGTGAGAGTTAAGGCGCAGGACCGACGGCTTTACGTGCTCTCCGAGGCACGGGGGTGAAACACCGCCAACTTCCCAACTCCGGGCTGTTACTGAGACTTTCTATACAGAAAGACTCAATAACTAAACTTGGCCCGACCCGGGACTCGAACCCAGGACCTCCGGGTGTGCAGCCGTACATGCTAGCCACTACACCACCGAGGCAGTTATTTGATTACACAATGTTAAACTAATTACAATGACAATAATATAATTAGGTAAAACCTATCATAAAAGGGTATTCTTGAATTATACACGAATATGTTTGTTAGTTGGTTTTGTTAAAATTATTTTGCATATTAAAAATACTTACTTCATGTTATAGTCCAAGATCCCGGTGCCCCCAGACGTTACTTATTTTCTCATAAGAAATATAAATGGGATAAAGTAGTGTTAGTACGTACTTTGTGTGTGTGCATACCTGCTACCTTGGGTCGACGGCCAATTCATAGGTACCAGGTGCTAAAGGTAGATAAATACAGTACTGATTTTTCTTAAATTCTCAGTGCTGATTTTTACATATGTTTTAGATATTGTTGTTAAAAATTAATAATCATTATTGCCAGACACTTTCCATCGGCGCTTACCCTTACCAGACGCTTTAAAGCTTCAAAAAAAAATAACATATTCTTACTTATAATCTCACTCTTGATTTTTATGTATGATACTTGGGGAACTATTTGAATACCCCTGGTCAGCAGCCAGACCGATTGGAGGGGTCAAACATCCCCCCAGACACACATAAAGTGTCGCTAAAATTCTGCTCTGTTCGATATAATCAAGAGAGATTAAAGATTCGTTACATACAAAATGGAATCGAACCTGAAGATTACAAGGTATTTTAAAGTGATCTGGGTGGAGAAAATTTTATAAATCATAAATATAAGTTTCTTTAACCTATGTTTTACATCTTATCATCGAGTTAAATTGAATACTACTATTTAAAAAATTCATGTTTATTAAATCTTAAAATTATACAAAGCTATAAATGTCTTTCTTCTTTCGGATTATTTGTAGTTTGAACATTCAGCGTGATCTTTACTGTCATCATCGTCTAAGTTTGATAAGTCATTATCAACCCAATGTTGGCATTGACTATCTTCATTATCATCCATATTACTTTCATTTTATGTAACAAAAATAACATAATTAAGAATCAAAGAGTTATACGGTTATATCAATTATTCAAATTTAAAGTATAATACCTGATTCTTCTTGAAGCGATTCAATGACAAAGCTCGGCAATTGGTCCCCATCGAACCAGTTAAAATGATGTTTATTATCTTTCAACGTCCACCCATTATTGTCAGGACTAAAAATACTAATTTTCTTCATATGAGCATTCTTCCAGAGACTAGTGATATAATTAGCTCGTCGAAACTCCTGTGAAAGCTCACTTTTGCATGGTGGTAAGTTACTAGCATCAAAGTTTTTCACATTTTTACGATTGAACTCTTCATTTACGTCACAAACCATATAAGTGTTGATGAAGAGTTGGAGTCGGGCAGCATCTACGTCAATTATTCCGGCCACGTTGTACAGTTCACAAATAAATTTTTGTATAGTGTTGAACACATTTTGCTCCAGTTCTAAGTCACTGAATAAGTCTACATCGCCGAGTTTCATAAATGCTATCTGGTACTCTACTTTTTTTTTCAATACATTAAATGGCCTTTGCTTGCCTTTTCTAATAAAAGCTGGATGAAAATTTAAGTTGCCCTGAACATGAGGAAGCTGACACTAAGATTATCCACCATATCTGCAATTTTGTTGATCAAGCTAATTTTGTTATTCAGTGTTCTGACACTGATATTGCAGTAATTATGCTGGGCAATATGCATCATTTAAAAAATGATGACTCCCATGTGTGGATATTGACTGGCACTGGAAATAAAGTTAGATACATTGATATCACTGAGATTTATAAACATTTAGGACCTACATTAAGCCGTTGCTTGCCAGGATTTCACGCAATAACTGGTTGTGATTACAATCCAGCTTTTTTTAGAAAAGGCAAGCAAAGGCCATTTAATGTATTGAAAAAAAAGTAGAGTACCAGATAGCATTTATGAAACTCGGCGATGTAGACTTATTCAGTGACTTAGAACTGGAGCAAAATGTGTTCAACACTATACAAAAATTTATTTGTGAACTGTACAACGTGGCCGGAATAATTGACGTAGATGCTGCCCGACTCCAACTCTTCATCAACACTTATATGGTTTGTGACGTAAATGAAGAGTTCAATCGTAAAAATGTGAAAAACTTTGATGCTAGTAACTTACCACCATGCAAAAGTGAGCTTTCACAGGAGTTTCGACGAGCTAATTATATCACTAGTCTCTGGAAGAATGCTCATATGAAGAAAATTAGTATTTTTAGTCCTGACAATAATGGGTGGACGTTGAAAGATAATAAACATCATTTTAACTGGTTCGATGGGGACCAATTGCCGAGCTTTGTCATTGAATCGCTTCAAGAAGAATCAGGTATTATACTTTAAATTTGAATAATTGATATAACCGTATAACTCTTTGATTCTTAATTATGTTATTTTTGTTACAGAAAATGAAAGTAATATGGATGATAATGAAGATAGTCAATGCCAACATTGGGTTGATAATGACTTATCAAACTTAGACGATGATGACAGTAAAGATCACGCTGAATGTTCAAACTACAAATAATCCGAAAGAAGAAAGACATGTATAGCTTTGTATAATTTTAAGATTTAATAAACATGAATTTTTTAAATAGTAGTATTCAATTTAACTCGATGATAAGATGTAAAACATAGGTTAAAGAAACTTATATTTATGATTTATAAAATTTTCTCCACCCAGATCACTTTAAAATACCTTGTAATCTTCAGGTTCGATTCCATTTTGTATGTAACGAATCTTTAATCTCTCTTGATTATATCGAACAGAGCAGAATTTTAGCGACACTTTATGTGTGTCTGGGGGATGTTTGACCCCTCCAATCGGTCTGGCTGCTGACCAGGGGTATTCAAATAGTTCCCCAAGTATCATACATAAAAATCAAGAGTGAGATTATAAGTAAGAATATGTTATTTTTTTTGAAGCTTTAAAGCGTCTGGTAAGGGTAAGCGCCGATGGAAAGTGTCTGGCAATAATGATTATTAATTTTTAACAACAATATCTAAAACATATGTAAAAATCAGCACTGAGAATTTAAGAAAAATCAGTACTGTATTTATCTACCTTTAGCACCTGGTACCTATGAATTGGCCGTCGACCCAAGGTAGCAGGTATGCACACACTCAAAGTACGTACTAACACTACTTTATCCCATTTATATTTCTTATGAGAAAATAAGTAACGTCTGGGGGCACCGGGATCTTACTCTATGAAAATTGTTATACTTTTATTTATTTAAAAAAATAAATATAACATGCATAATATTAAAAGGGTTTAATTACCTCTTAAACATTCAAACAATTTGTATCTACGTTTCAATACTCAAAAGTATGTATTCTCAAAATAAAGTTTCAAATACTGTCTAATGAATAATCTATACATATAATAAAACTGTAGAGGTCGAATGTCTGTACATAGAAAAAATTGCTAAAAACCGAGTCAGGGGGATATAAGAAGAGAAATAGAACAAATCCAGTTTTTTTTCTGTCTGTTTCTACAGGCTAATCTCCGAAACTGTTGGACCGACTTAAATGAAATTTTGCACGGTAGTACCTTATATCCCCGGTCAACATTAAGTAACAGATACTTTTCATCCCGAATTTAATAGTTCCCGTGGGATAGTTAAACTATAGTAACTTATACAGCTTCGTACACAACAATTTATGCACCTAATTAAGTAAAATTTGGCATGCTGATACTTATACTATAATTATATTGCCGGTCAAACAACAAGTTACTTTTTATCCCGGAAAAATGAACGGTTGCCGTGGGATAGACCTGTTTGTGCTTTTCTAAAGACAAACCAGAGCGAAACGAGGGTGATCTGCTAGTTCAATATATTTGATTGGAGCAACGGGTTGCCAGAAAATTATGCTGTTGCATTTGTTATGTAAAGATTATTACGTTAGAGTGGATACTAAATATGTAATTAACGGTTGATGATAACAGCATATTTATGAGCTACTAGCAGAAACCGCGGATCCACTCGCGTTCAATCTACAAAAAAAACCCACGCTTCGCTCGGATTCGTCACTATGTATTTATAAAATATTTTTCATACAAAAATACTAAATCCGCGATAAAAAATTTGGGGTGTTTGGAATGGTGAAAAATACTTTAAGATCTATTCTCATACCTACCTAATATACAAAAAAAAATTAAAATCGGTTGAGCTGATTCGGATGAGTACGACCACAAACACGAGATAAGATTGTGAATTGGAGTCTAGAATAGTATAGAAGTGGGTTTAAATGTATTTTTATACTAAAACATATACTGTTAAAAATATAATGACTGAAGTCCTGACGCTTAAATATAGGTACACATTACATGTATTATGTGTAACTGAGAGTGTTGGATAATGTCCTTCGTCGTGGATTCGATTTCCGCACGCAAATGTTATAATGGTTATATACATTTATTATTTCAGAATGGCAAATACTAATTGCAGTTAGATATCATTACACAATGTCTTCATACTGGTGAAAAAGGGAGAGTGGTAAATAGATTTGTATTGTTTACTCTGTAAGTGAAATTATATGTTAGGCTAGTAGCGTAGAGATCAAAAGTTTATGCTGTTATAATAATAAACCTTACTTACTAAAAAAATTGTTTAAAAGTATGGGAATGCCAATAGAATAAATTCTTTGAATATTTCAAAACGATATTTTGTACATTGACCTTAATACATATACTATTTGACGTACAAAACCTCTTATAATTGCAGTTTATCTTTTGTTACATAAAAACTCTTAATAAAGCTCTGTATACACTATTAAGAATAAGTTTTAAAATTTATATCTTGGGTACCTATTTATAAGTGAAATGTTTTATCTAACTTTTTAAATATTTATGATAAACTAGCGACTCAACCTCGCTTCGCTCGAGTTTGTATCTAGTGAAAAACAAAAACAAATCAATCCCACGAGAAACGTACATTTTTCCGGGATAAAAAGTAGCCTATGTGCTATTCCAGACTATAATATCTGTGCCAAATTTCATCATCAGCCGTTCTGTCGTGAACGAGTAACAAACCTCCATTCATCCAAACAAAAAAGGATAGTTTTTTTTGTGTAGGGACGAACCCAACCGAAGCGAAGCGATGGTGAGTCGCTAGTACTAAATAAAAGTACATTTAAATTATTATTAAATAAAATTAAAATTAAATACAAATGAAACTATAAATGTCCAGGGCCTTCCATGTGTTACCTGGCATGTGTTATGTGTTGTTGTGGCATGTATGACTCATCAGTAATTACAATGTAAAATATTTTATCTCATGTGCACTTGAGTTTATTTGTTTAGAAACATAATAATGTTTTGCTTTTCTTTTGTTCTCACAATTTCACCAAAACCAGTTTTGGTCATGATCGGAATATAATTAAGTTTCTTTTTTATAAGTCCTCTCAAATTCACATATTTCTTTGGTGAGACATTCTGTTAAATGCAATTATTGAATGCGATTGCGGGTTTTTTATTATAGGTTTCTTTTAACTTGAAAATAGTTGCTTTAAAATGTGTACTGCGGTGGCATCGTGGGTGATTGAAAATAAATATCCGAGAAAACGGATTTGACTGTTATAAATGAATAATTAATATGTGTATACAGATATTTTGTTTATTAACCACTTTTAGATATACATACGTATATTGAAATAAGTTTGCTATAAAAGTGACGTAGAGTCAAGTATGATATAATTTTTATGTTATTGAATGACAAATTCGACAGACGCTGACCTAATTATTAATATATTTTTTGTTAATAAAAAACTAAAACCAATTTAACGTTCTGTGTTTATAAAATCCCTATTAAATGACATATTTACATCTTGTCTTATACATATAATGGAACAGTAACTTAGCAAAGTCAATGAGCGCGTTTGACGCAAAAAGTACCGACCGTAAGACCGATTTTAACTAAATTTTGTGTAGTGATAATTTATTATTCGAGTCAACATTTAGGATACCTTTTACTACAGGAAAATCTTTTATTTCCACGGGAAAACAATGGTTTTATCGCGTCCTCCGTAGTTTGTATGGCTAACGCTGGCTAATCCTACATCAAAACAATGTACTAGAAAATTGTAGGTCCTTAAAGGCCTACAGAAAAGTCCGCAATAGTATATGTCTATCTTCTAAGGTACACTCGTAATAACTATTCATATCTATTTAAAACTTACCTAGGGAAACTAGGTGAGTCACTTGTTAAGTAGATAAAAATGTAGATAGTATATATTTTGGTGCTAGAGAGCGATACCCATAAATACATAATGATGTTATGATGCACTCTGTTAGGGAAACTGATAAATGTTAGCTGGGATGCGGAAACCAAACACCGGTTCTTGTAACTCACAAATATTTTTTTAACTGTTACAAGATAATTCAGTTTTAATCTATACAGATAAATAAAATTGAAATGTCTGAAGTTTGTAATGTCAAAATAACAGTTTTTTACTAAATTCCTAAGAAATTATATACGGTACTTATAAGAAAAACACAATTTAAAAAAAAATGTCTGTTTGTTCCGACTAATCCGAATTCCGAAACTGCTGGACTGATTTTGACGGGGTTTTCACTGGCAGATAGCTGATCTTATAAGGAGTAAATTAGGCTACGTGAGGTATTTATTTAGAGATAGAGATTAAAAAATAAAGCTAAGTAAATTCTTACATAATAAAGTATTCAAAAAGAAATAAAGTACTTATTTCTCTAATTATGGTATATTTCTGTTGAGTAAACTAAGTACAAAATACAAATGCTTAAAATACATGCCATATTTCATACAAATGTAATGCGATCATGCGATCTAATATTTTGAAATACTATTGATTTTATTGATTTTATTGTATGTCATTGCCCACTTTATAAACTGTCGGCGATTTCTAAACTGCCTTTATCTGCCTGTATTTGCCCATTAAACCTAGACACGTTTCTTAATAGCTATCTAAAACAGAATAATTTAAGTGTCAGAATCTAATATGTATTGAGTATGACAGTTATTTGTATATTTTCTTCTTGAAAGAATACGGGAGCGAGCTGATTTTAAAAAATGTTCTGTAAATATATATAAGACAAATATGGATTACACAATAAAGTGTTTTTATTTATGCTTTATCATGAAAGGCTATAATGTATACTGCTAAAACTTAAGTAAAACCAACAAATTGTAAAAATGACACGCGGCTAGGAGTTTCAACCAATCTACGTATATAAAAGGCAAACGTAATTGACTGATGTACCACAGGCCAAATCCTTAAGGCTAGAAAATTGAAATTTCGCACACGTATTCCTCGTATGACAAAGGCTGGACGCCTTGAAAGATTTTTTAAAAATCAACCTCCGAGGGGGTGAAGTAGGGGATAAAAGTTTGTATGAAACTTTTTATTGCATGAAATTTCGTATGAATTGAGTACGGCAAAAATAATGAGTTACTATTTCAGCGTTTTATAAAATTCAACCCCTAAGAGGGTAAAATAGGGGATGATAACATAAAGCCAAAGAGTTTTTTTGTAGACTGAAAACGG